TGATCTTTTATTTATTTAGTCATTTATTAGAGCGCTTTTATCCAAAGCGACTTACAAACGAGGACAACAGAAGCAATCAATTGTAGTATTAAAACAACTAAAAGCTAAAACTATAAATACTACCTATACACATTTTAAAAATATATATGTGTATGTACAACCACACACACACACACATATATATATATACACATTTATAAATTCAATATATATTTAATTTCCATTTAGTTTGCTGAAGTATTAAAATAACTCCAATTAAATAAAACTAAAAACTTAAAAGACCTATACAGACATAATAAATTCAGACATAATTTAACTAAAATTAAAATAAGTAACAAATACAAATTATACAAATCAAATGACAGTAGTTTATCAATAATCCTAAAAGATCTGTGATCTGCGAGCAGCTGACCGACTCCTCTGAGCTGTTGATCCAATCAACGTTAAAACGCTGACATTCTATCGATCTGTGCTTATTGGTGAAAGTGCAATTCCTGTAATGCAAAAGTAAGTTTTTCAAATGACGACAATCATTACAAGTATAATTTTGAGCAAAAATAATTTTTATAGGTTTAACCATTACACAGCATGACGAAAATGTCTAAAACTAGACTAAAATGCTCAGACATTTCGTCGACTAAAATTTGACTAAACAAAAACAGGACAAGGTTGACTAAATATGATAATAAGTAAAATGTACATTTGAGACAATCTAAGACTAAATTAAAAATGGGCGCCAAAATTAACACTACTGAAGAGGGGCTCATTATCATTTAAAGAGACATGCACCGAAAAAAGCTGTTTTTGACAAGGTAAAAAGAGTGCAGTTTTACATGACCTTTGAGGAATTTTAACCAAAGTATGTTGCAGACATTTCACGAAGACCATAAAGTATTCTACCAACCTGTGAAAAAATGGACATCTGATGTGCCCTTTAAAACAGTTTATACAATTCTTGCAAGCTGTGTATACATGTATGTTCATTTCAAATCAGACATGATGAATGTACTGTTCTGCTGATATAAAAGTTATTTGGACTGACTAAATAATACAGGTTATTAGACTTGTTTTTTTATTTATTTTAAGCTAGTGTTTACACAAGTGTCTCCATGTGTAAAATATTATTATGATAGTATGAATGCTATTAGGATCGAATTATGTTAAGACAGTATTAATGCTTCCTACATGAGTAGTATACAGTGTTAACATATTTAATATTGAAAAAAGTTACATGTATTGATTGTGTTTGTTCAGAAACTAGTTAAAACTAATTTTTCAACAGATGAAGTGACACAATATACGTACCATATGCACATGGCAATCTCATACAACTCAATCCAATTCTAATTCAATATTTTAGAGAACTGAAACAGAAATTAGTGTATGACGATCTGGCCTGTGTCGTTCACTCAGACTAACTATGGCTCTTATTTTCCTTTAGCTATTGCTATCGCTGCTACTGCTACAGCTCCTACTGCTACTACTCCTCCTCCTATTACTGTTAGCGCTGTTTGCCCATACTGTCTCAGTTTTTGCTTTAAAGCCTCTTGTTCAATCTTTTTCTGGGCTTTATTGTATATCTCATTACTGTAGTGCTGTCCTCCATTGATCCTCACCATTTCTTCAATCTTCTGCAGCAGTTCTGTGACCTGAGAGTGATTCCTCATGTCTTCATTGTTAAACGAGTGAAATCTGCCACCGCACTTATTAACAAGAGCCTTGAGATCATTACTTTCACTGATATACTCATCCAGTGAAATCCCCTTCAGGTGGTCTGTGTGAGTGAACAGAATGATGGTGTGATCAGAAGCGCCGTCCCCAAAGTTTTTCTGAATCCAATCCACTGTGTTCTTCTCTTCTTCTGTGAATCTCACACCCAGTCTGATGACTAGCAGAAACACATGAGGACCAGGAACAGACATGTAGATGCACTTCTCAATCTCTTTCTTCAGGTCCCCTTCACTCATTGATGTATCATATAGTCCTGGAGTGTCAATCACTGAAATGATTTTATCCTCCACTGCTGTCTCGTGTCTTTGACAGTGTCTAGTCATAGACTTGGAGGAAATCCCTCGCTTAAAGACAAAGTTTCCGATGATGGTGTTTCCTGTTGAACTCTTTCCTGATCCAGTTTTACCCAGCAGCACAATCCTTCGATCTGCTAAAGATAGAAACAAAAAAAAAATATTTATACTTTACAAATCATAATAATTTAGCATTTTATCTTTGCTCACTAGGGGGCCTCAACAAACATACAGGGGGCCTCAAGATGACTTAAAATCACTACAAAAAAAAAACTGGACGTACTGTATGAGGTCGCCTAATTTTAAAAGTGTGATTTCTAGAAATGTCATACAAACCCAATTCTAAAAAAGTTGGGACACTGTACACATTGTGAGTAAAAAAAGGAATGGAATAATTTACAAATCTCATAAACCGTACCCACTGGAGAGCCATAACAATAGCTACCAACTCTGCTGTAAATACGGATAAAACAATCCGGGGTTCTTTTCTTAATAACTATTTCATATTGTGAAATAACTACTGCTATTCCAGTTTTCATAGTTTCTGGATCTTTTGAACCATCTGTAAATATCTGTATCGTATCATAATATTTCTGATCCATATATTTATTAACTCTTATTTTTATTGGGTCACAATTCTGTTTCTTCACTTTATCTATTAAATAAAGATCTACTATAGGCGTTACAAACATCCACGGTGGAACTGCTGACATGTCTACTGTATTACTGAATCTTATATGTTTTACATCTATCGATTCCGCTATTTCCTGTCCAATATTTTTAATATTACTTTTTCCATATTCCCAACTTTTTTAAAATATTGCCTTAGTAGGGTGTTCATTGTTGTGCCGCATCAAAGATGCCCAATATACCATTTTCAGTTGTTTACGTCTTGTTTCCAATGACATTTCTCCCATTTCAACTTGTATGGAAGCTTTAGGGGAAGTTTTAAATGCCCCACAACATAATCTCAAAGCATAATCTTAATTATAAACTCTGTACTGCATCTGTTTTTTTTCAGAAGAGACTTATTCGCCGAATCATAAATCATACTACCATAATCTATTGCTGATCGGATGATAGCCATATATATATTCCTAAGAGAACTTCTACTCGCACACCAATCACTTCCTGCTAGACGTCTCATAACATTCAGTGCCTTTTTGCTTTTGGTTAGCAGTTTCTCTACATGTGTATTACAAGTCAATCTTGAGTCCAACCATACTCCAAGACATTTTACCACTGACACCTGTTCCAGATGTGGTCCATATAGGAATAAATTAATATTAACATTTCTCTTTTTGTAAAACAAATTACTTGTGTTTTGGCTACTGACATTCGAAAACCTAATTTCTGTGCCCACTCTTCAACTTTATTTATTGCAGCCTGAACTTTCTTAACTGTTTATGATACATTTCGGCCTCAGCAGTGAACATCATTACCGGTGTTTCTATTTACCTTACTTGTGAGTATCACCAAGCCACAGCAGGCTACAGCATACATGACCCTAGTTACCTGTGATTGGCCTGGCCGTGCCTCACTCAGAAAACAACAGGCCAATCAGAAGAGAGGCTCATGAATATTAATTAGACAGACAGGCATGTATATGTATATGTTATGTCTTGTTATATCTTTTTTTATTTTTCATATAGAAAAATGCATGATGCACTTCTTCTGGGCATTGGGATAAACATTTATTTAGAATTTCATGACAAGTGTATTTAATAGGCTATTAAATGCCCATATTATGTTTCTTTATTTGTAATAAACCTGAAAAGGAATTAACACAATGTCACAAAATACAGTTAAATGGAAAACACTATACAATAGTATTACACAAGATTCATTTTTAAAAATGTTCACTGTACATCATAACACTTTATGCACGTACGAAATGAAATGGACTTCAATTCGTACATGTATGAGGTATAATGATGTATTAATAGTATTACACCAGATTAAGGTTTTAAAATACTTACTGCATGCACGTTTGAACGTGCATAAGGTATTCTGATGTATTAAAATGATGATGCATCACATGTAGTAAAAAGAAAACTGTAGGTGGCGTGACTTTTTAAGACCATATAAGCTCCGCCCCTCACTTCAGTTCTGTGCACATTTTCACTTTCAGTTTGGAAACCTTCGAGGCGCTGGCGATACAATGACGCACAGTTGAGGTACGATGTCAAACACACTTATTTAACACAAATCAAACTAATGTTTTATAAGGATGAAAAATGTAGACCTTTTTAATCGTTTCGCTGCCTTTAAACAGATGTTCTTTTAGAAAATTGTCCCGCAGACGCGTAACTGCGCAGATGTGCTGCCATCTTAATGTTTGTCATAATAGCTTGTTTGGCTTGCCAACTTTGATTACCTGGCTGGAATTTGATTATAATGGCATGAGCTGAATCAAAAGAATATTTGAGGCTTTGAAGATATTTAATCTGAATGTTGTATATTGATAAGCACGTGCATTTTCTCTTTCCCTTTTTATTCCTCAGTCAGATTTTCTTTGATTTTGAAACTTGGAGGCAGAAATGGCACAAAGTCTGGGTAAGCATCAAATTACAGCAAATTAACATGTTTTATTCAAAGACTCCATCTTTTCAAAATGTGTTTTCGTGTAGTTAAGTGTTTTAAATATATTCATTAAAAATAATTATTTAATTTAATTTACGACCTAGAAAAGGTCCGTGAACAAGTTATCATCGTAAACCTAAAGCATCAATACTGTAACTTCAAACAATGCATGATTAAGATAAAGTATAAGAGGGACGATCTGCCGGTGTTTATCGCTAGTTTCTTTATGCGGAAGTAAGTGATTGATAGGCCTACTAAGGCTACGTCCACAGAAGCCAGAGCTTTCCCTATCCGATCTTTTTTTCCCCCTCGTCTCAAGAAATATCTGCGTCCACCAGTGTTGCCAGATTGGATGGACGATTTCCTGCCCAAAAGCTCACAAAAACCCGCCCAAAACTTTAACTGTCAAAATAATGTGATGGAATATGTAAATCAAGGTTGATAAGGGCCATTTTAACTCCTTAAAACAAAATAATGTTGACAAAATAATTTATATAACGTTAGATACATTCCCCAGGTAAACGGATCGAATCGGGGCAAATAGCCTACATTAAAGGGAATAGGCTATCTAACATGAATAAAATATTCAAGCAGACAGTGTCAAAACGGCAATCAAGAAATTCATCATTTTCAATGTCAGCAGGCAGAATAATCCAATTTAAATGCAAAAAGTGCCCAATATAAGTGATAGGAAAAAGCAACGTTGCAGGTATTTCACACTCGTTCATGCACACTTGATATGCTACTGAATTATAATCCGACAATAAAAAAATAAAAAAAAACAATAATCATGCGTTTACCTTCGTGTCGCTCTATTTTACACAGAACTAGAGGAAGCCTCTTGTTAAGTTCATATTGTAGAACATAATACAGAACTTTGCACAGTCAAAACTAATCAAGTCTAGCCGTTTTCAAGGATTTATCAATCTGGACCGTTTAAAAGATAAAAGACAGGATCGTATAAACCGACATATTTAGATTCGGTTATGATTAATTCAAATGTGCTCTGATTTCGGAGTTGCAGTGATAGAGCCTTCGTGTCATCTCACTCCACAATAATTCACGTTTTGAGACTCGAGTCACTCTCCCACTTTTTAATTTATATTTAGGCATTGTGATTACTTGAATATACAGTCATACTACATTCAAAATCAGATACGTAATAACTTATCACGCTAAAAGCTTGTCACTCATGAATCATAACGTCTCTGCTGAGCCCTCGTGATAAGTGCGGCTGTCGACGTTTACATCAGCACCAGTATGGGATTACAATTCTGCCACAATTCTGCGTGCGAAAGATCATATTTTGAGCGCGCAAATGTGCGTTTTGCACGCGTGCGAACTGAGTTTTGTGGAGAAAATGTTTGTCTCGCAAAGAAGAAAGTATTTCGAACGCACGAAAATCAATTTTGCATTTAAAATACGTTTTTGGATGTGTGCAAGCACCCGCCCTCAGTGCTTTGGAAAAAAATATGATCAGAATATAAACTTGCATAATAATTATGCATGCACTGTATTTTTCCTCTTCTGCTGTCGTGGTAATGCAAGAAATGTTATGACTGGTTGTCAAGGCAGCCAATCAGAATTTAGCAGCCTCGGTCTCTGATTGGCTGGAATTACGGCACATTGTAACGCTGGGTTGTGTTGAGCACGCGAGCTGTTGGCATTTAGAGAGCACTGAGGGCTGGCATCAGGTGAGCAAGCTAGTGAAACATTGCATGCGCAAAAGAGGTCTGCACACATCCAAAAATGTATTTTAAATGAAAAATTGATTTTTGTGCGCTCGAAATACTTTCTTCTTTGCAAGACAAACATTTTCTTCACAAAACTTTTGCACGCTCAAAATATGATCTTTCGCACGCAGAATTGTGGTAGAATTGTAATCCCATACACCAGCGCCTCTGCAGTGTGTGTGTGTGTAACGTTGTGATGACTGATTGGATGCAGTACATGCTGGATGTCTATTTTCGATCATTTCCATGATCGATCGTCGTTTAAATTAACGATCAATTAATCGATTAACCGTTAACTTTAGTGCTGCAAAATGCGTCTATTGCAGCAGCACGCAGTCACCGGCATGACAGGCTGTGCAAAAGCCACTCAAAAAAAAAAACTCTTTCTCACCCGAATTAAAGGGGTTTTAGTCGGAATAAAATGCTAGTAGCAGGATCGTAAAATGAATAGATGTGATTATGATCATTTGATAAAATGAAGAGAGCGCGCCGTACGTTTGAGATCATTTTACTTTGTTGACTGTTTTATATCCCGTCACGGAGACCGCTGAACGCGCCTCTTTAAATGGTTTCGTGGCAGGGACGCGGGAAGTAGGGTTGCTGACTCTGAGGGGGCTGCAGCACCCCCTGTTTTCACATGGTTGCAAATGCAATGCCAAGTTTGTTCATTTAAATGTATTCAGTTTTAGCATTTAATAATTTATTTGTAATGGTCTCTGAAATGTAAATTGTAAGAAGCTATAATAAACCCATGTTTATCTTTATAAACATGATTAATTTTACTTGTGATGTTTTCTATATGGGATGATTAGCCTAATCCTCATGATCACGTGACGCTAGCGCGTGGTATCAGACATGAACTATACAGAATGCGAACAAGATTAACTTTAATACAAGGAGATAATGGCGCGAAAGCGAATTTCAGATTTTTTTAAATGCCCATCCCAGCAAAAACTTTCCAAAATTGGCATCCAAACAACACCAGCCCCAGCACGAGCACCGACATAAGTGAACCAGCCCCTCCGCCCCCCACCCCCCTTTCACCCAACACGGACACACACAGCACCCCCAACCGAAAACATCTTCCCGCGCCCCTGTTTGGCATTTAGAGAGCACTGAGGGCTGGCATCAGGTGAGCAAGCTAGTGAAACATTGCATGCGCAAAAGAGGTCTGCACACATCCAAAAATGTATTTTAAATGAAAAATTGATTTTTGTGCGCTCGAAATACTTTCTTCTTTGCAAGACAAACATTTTCTTCACAAAACTTTTGCACGCTCAAAATATGATCTTTCGCACGCAGAATTGTGGTAGAATTGTAATCCCATACACCAGCGCCTCTGCAGTGTGTGTGTGTGTAACGTTGTGATGACTGATTGGATGCAGTACATGCTGGATGTCTATTTTCGATCATTTCCATGATCGATCGTCGTTTAAATTAACGATCAATTAATCGATTAACCGTTAACTTTAGTGCTGCAAAATGCGTCTATTGCAGCAGCACGCAGTCACCGGCATGACAGGCTGTGCAAAAGCCACTCAAAAAAAAAAACTCTTTCTCACCCGAATTAAAGGGGTTTTAGTCGGAATAAAATGCTAGTAGCAGGATCGTAAAATGAATAGATGTGATTATGATCATTTGATAAAATGAAGAGAGCGCGCCGTACGTTTGAGATCATTTTACTTTGTTGACTGTTTTATATCCCGTCACGGAGACCGCTGAACGCGCCTCTTTAAATGGTTTCGTGGCAGGGACGCGGGAAGTAGGGTTGCTGACTCTGAGGGGGCTGCAGCACCCCCTGTTTTCACATGGTTGCAAATGCAATGCCAAGTTTGTTCATTTAAATGTATTCAGTTTTAGCATTTAATAATTTATTTGTAATGGTCTCTGAAATGTAAATTGTAAGAAGCTATAATAAACCCATGTTTATCTTTATAAACATGATTAATTTTACTTGTGATGTTTTCTATATGGGATGATTAGCCTAATCCTCATGATCACGTGACGCTAGCGCGTGGTATCAGACATGAACTATACAGAATGCGAACAAGATTAACTTTAATACAAGGAGATAATGGCGCGAAAGCGAATTTCAGATTTTTTTAAATGCCCATCCCAGCAAAAACTTTCCAAAATTGGCATCCAAACAACACCAGCCCCAGCACGAGCACCGACATAAGTGAACCAGCCCCTCCGCCCCCCACCCCCCTTTCACCCAACACGGACACACACAGCACCCCCAACCGAAAACATCTTCCCGCGCCCCTGTTTCGTGGTGCTCGTTATTGTATTTTAAAACACAATTGCAATTTTTTTCAACTGACATTATGGCATTAAAAATAAAATGATCCCAAACATAACTGTGGCGCGTATGGCTGTGCTGCAGTCAGTGAACCGTTTCCATCGGCGCTGCTGCAGCAAAACACACGGTTGCTCACATCAAACATTATCATGTATTATGACCAGTACTTAATTTGATCCTGCTGAATCCTGTTCCAGAAAATGTCAGATTTTAAATCTTTGCGTTGTGGTAGGCCTATTTGTTTTTAAAAATCCGGCATTTACAGTGCATTAGAGTGGTATCAGACATGAACTATACAGAATGCGAACAAGATTAACTTTAATACAAGGAGATAATGGCGCGAAAGCGAATTTCAGATTTTTTTAAATGCCCATCCCAGCAAAAACTTTCCAAAATTGGCATCCAAACAACACCAGCCCCAGCACGAGCACCGACATAAGTGAACCAGCCCCTCCGCCCCCCACCCCCCTTTCACCCAACACGGACACACACAGCACCCCCAACCGAAAACATCTTCCCGCGCCCCTGTTTCGTGGGGCTCGTTATTGTATTTTAAAACACAATTGCAATTTTTTTCAACTGACATTATGGCATTAAAAATAAAATGATCCCAAACATAACTGTGGCGCAACAGAATGCGCGTTGTCATCCTTTCCTTTCCGTGAACTTGTTTATGGAGCGCCACCCCACACTTCTGTTTTAAATCTGTTAGCTTAATCATTTAAGCCAGATATATTTAGCTTTTTTTTTTTTTTATTAAAACAAATTGTTATTTTTATTTTAGGCCTATTACTTACATAGGCTATTTCCCTTAAAGCATCCAATTTTGTCCCAGGGCTTGAAACCCTGTGCCCTAGGCTAGTTCGGTCCTGCAGAAACTAGTGAACAATGCTCTAGTTGTGGCATCACCGTTTAGTGACATTGAATGCTCTGGGAAAACGTATAGTCAGTGTCGGTCACAGCG